CTTACAGGTTAACGTGCCATACTTACAGGTTACGTGCTATACTTATAATTCTTGTATTTCATGCTATCCTTACAGCTTATCTTTGTTTACTAATATCAAATTCAACTAAAATTTCATCAATTATAACAAATTTAACTATTTTTATGAATTCATAAATAATATTGAGAAATTAGTGTGAAATAATAATATGAACTTAATAGGTGATTAATTACAATACCTCATTTAACTAACATTTTATCAAAAATAACAAATTTAAAAAAAATATATGAACTCATTTAACTAACAACATCAAATAATTGTCATGCATAAAATGAGAAATTAATGCTATAAACTAAGTAGTTGAGAAAATTAAAAAATTGTACCTTCAAATGCTAAGAAAGTTGGTGAGGATTAATTAATGGGTTATAAGGGAGTGTAAGAATCAATTAATGGAGTGAGAGAAAGGGAGATGAAGAGGGGGAGAGAGAGAAGATAGGGAGGGGGAGGGGAGTGGAGGAGGTGGTGGTGGTGGTGGTGATATTCCCGCCGGTTGATCATCCTCTCCCGCGTTTCTCTCTCTCTCCATTTTCCTTTACTAGTTTTAATACACATGCAGTGCACGTGGTAAAATTATAATATTATTTTAAAATATAATTTTATTTAGGGAAATTAGTATAAATTTATTGAATGTAAACAATATAGCCAACATATGAATAGAAGCTAAAAATTCATAATGTTTGAACAATAAAATTATATTTAGTGATCAATTATGCGTTAGTATAGTGGTCATATGTACAAGGTGATTGATCAATCAAAAACTATCACAAGAATATACCTAAATGTAATGTTTGATGATGTGGATGTAAATCCAAGCGTATGACATTAGAGCCTTGCTAAGTCTTCGCACTACATAATGTATGAGTACATATATTCACTCATGAATTATTGACAATCCCATAAAAAATCCAACACAGTCGTTAAGTTTTCTACAAACTAAGGTTTGACAATCTCCAAACACACCCTTTCCATAATACAAAGTTTGCGTAGCACTACCTTTATTGCACAAGCTCATATATTCCCTTTTAGTTTTAACTCCATGAACTTTTTTAGTTTGATGATGATTTTTTGATTTGAGATGGCTTCCCTTGAATCATACTCTTGGATTATCTAGAGTTTCTTACTGTTACAAGATAATATCTTTTATCTTAAATTTCACCAAGCCTTATCTTCCATACATGTAATGGCAAAACAAATAATGGATGCAAAATGACGAGTACATGTACTAAAACATTATATCGTGCAATATCTTAAATGATGGTGGTTATGACATTGCACAATTTCTGTGATTAAAAGACTTATGAATGGATGCAAAATCATATGGAAATATGCAACATAATATCACAGGAGAATAAAAGCACAGCTCCTGCTGCACAAGTTGCTCATCTATCTAGGAGATAACGCACCCAAAATAATCCTATCTTCCACCTTACCACTTGCTAGCCACCACAGTCTGGCAGAACCCAGAGTAGTCCCAATTAGTTCCTTTGACAGCCTAAAGTCCTTCTGAACAACAACCAAATCTCCTCAATTCAAATTGCAACATGCTAGCTTATGAACGGAGGTTACAACATCGCAAGTTTTCCAGCTTCTTCATAGTAGTCAATTGTTGTTGATTTAAACATTTTACTTGCTAAATACTTAATTCTTTAACTTTTGGTATATAAGTAAAATTGGTTGAAACATATGTCATCCCAGCTTGGCAATTTGACCTTAGTTCTTAATAAACCCATGAAAGATTGAACATAAATGACATACAAACATATCTTTATCCTTCAATCATGGTAAATAAACCAAGTCACCGACCCTGTGTTAATGCCATAAAGCTCTTGTCACTTTTATTCAGAGAAATGTAGAAGATCACCAAGAGTATTCACTCCGAGATCACTTTACAAAGAGGTTCCAGGTTTTCCTCCAAGCTGTTTCCTATAAGGTACACAAATAGCGAGCTGCAATTAAGTGAATACTAATTTTGTAGGTTAAGCAAAATATTGTTAAAATGTAATATGTTAGAAGCATCGCAATATTTAAAAGAATGTCTGGTAGGTGAATTTCAAAATAATGAACAAGCTCATTGACCTTTAGCCTTGTTTGAGAAGGCCTTGGGAGTTCACACGAGGAGAGAGAAGAAAGTGTTCAAGATGGAGAGTTACACCATAAAGATTTAGGCATATGTACTACCACATTCAGAATTCTGCTTGGTGATTTTGTTATGTAATTATGGTTTTCTGAAGTCATTCAGAGATTAGCCAATAAAGAAGTAAAATAGATAACCACATTCCTTTAAAGAGGTAATATATATAATGTGAAAAATACAAAATAAAAGGCTAACCGCAGTAAAAGACTAAACGTACTTCTCTCTCAAGAGGACAAAAAACATCATGAGAAGTAGCAGACTAATAAATTAAACAAGTAATGGTTATCCAGTAAAAGTTTTAAGTCATATAAGATCCAATTTTAAAGGACTTAACAAGTGATCCCTTTCCAGAACTCATACCTTCAAGATTTTATCAATGGATGCATCCAAAAAGTCAGGCAAGGACAAAAACCTAAGAGTATGGCCTTAACAAAAATATGAGAATGGAATTGCATCAGTCAGGTACATATAAGACTATTTTACATTAGAAGCTAACAAATGACAAACAATACTTCCAAGGAAATAAATAGCAGAATGAAAAGAAATATAGTCAGGAAATATGTACTTACCGTAGGAGCAGTATCGAATACTATACGACTAAAAATATTATATTCTTGTGATTCAACAAATTGCATAACCTAGAAAAAAATCTGACAGGCATAAAATACTCAAGTTTCTGCCAAAAAAATAAAATAAAATAAACAAAACAATCTCTGTTTAACAGCTTGACTTCTGCCAATAAAATAAAATAAAATAAACAAAACAATCTCTGTTTAACAGCTTGACTAAAATATCATACATTTGAGATTGCAATTACTTCATCCAGCCCCAGGGGAGGTGAGTCCAGTAACTCTTCTAGTTTGAGTTCTCCTAGCTTAACCATAACAAACTAAAATATAAGTAAAACACAAGAAACATATGCAAAAACCTCACCATATAGCAAATCAGTCTGCCAACAAATAAATTCCATATGCTGACATAGAATATAAGAAAAAATGCATAACTATGAACAAGGAGATATAATACCACTTGTATGAAAAGAATCATTGAACCTAAAACTTGAGCAAATCACACACTTAAGAATGCATTCCCTACCACTTGTATGAAAAGAATCATTGAACCTAAAACTTGAGCAAATCACACACTTAAGAATGCATTCCCTAAAGTAACTTTTAGCTTATTATAGAGAAAGCAATGTGCCAAAACCTGTAAACCTTATGCGAGAAAATATTGGAATAAATAGTACTCTTGAGGACTTTAATAGACAACCAAAAAAATGAATTTCTTTCGGTCATTGTTGCAATCTATGATGTCACTAGATTCTACCTGGTTAGCAAGCATTCTAAGAGCCATACTGTCCATAAAAATTTTAACTCCGGTACCTCCATTTTTTCGACTTACACTGCGAAATTCCTCTCTGGCCTTCTTAAGATTTATCTGCAAATGAATATTTCTAAGGATCATGCCGAGCTATCAAATTTGAACTACTGTAAAGTAAACAATTTGCAGAAGATGAAAAGTCGAATTATCTATTGCAAGGCAACTAAATCTTCTTTGTTCTATCTATTTAAATAAATTATAAATATTAACCTCAAGTGCATATAGTGGAGAATCCAATCCATCAACAGGCACCAAAGTTCCTCCACTCAAGTCCTAGGAACAACCGGAACAAATTAGTTCACCTCCTTTCACTGCTATATAATACCAAAAATGATTCAGGTCTTATTTCTTAAAATAACAAATTCGATGAAACCGGTGCATGTACATAGAAAGTTTTAATCAAAAAGTGCAGTAATTGGATGAGCTAAAAACGTATTCAAACCATATAAAGTGTAAGCATATTAACTACTCTAAAAGTGCATGGTGAAGCATTCATGAACATAGATAAATATATCGGAATAGTGTATTGGGTGGTAACAAGCTACATAAGCACTCAACCATACAAAGTGCAAGCATCAAAAGCATTCTAAGAGGTGGTAGACATTAGGCTGTGTGTTTTTTCTTTTTTCTTCATCTAATCACTCTTGGTCATCATGAATCACCGAACAAATTCAAGAATATATTAATTAAAAATTGATACGTAGTTGAAAAAATTATGGCAGATTAGAATCAAAAAATTAAATCTCACGCAACGATCCTACTATAGTGGAAAAAATCATAAACATGTCATGTCATCAGGAAGATAGTGTGGAAGGTTTAAGCAAATAGAATATGGAACTTTAATGACATATTTACAAGCACAAAAGTAGACTGACATGTAAATCATATACAATCTAGTCGTAGTACATCATCATCATCATAAACTATTTTTCTTGACAAACTAACCTTTCAAATTTAAGTTCAAATTTTCATATACTTCAGAATTGAAGTTAAGATTTCCATCATACTTTGCTCCAAACCACCTAAAAAAAACCAGCAAGCTAATATTTATAAATTAGTGCTTTGACATACACTAGTAGAAAAACGATCAAACTAGACGGAACAATCTAGACGGAAATTTTTTCCGTCTAGATTGGATCAAAGTAGACGGAATAATTCCGTCTAGATTGTTCTGTCTAGTTTGGAGCAAACTAGACGGAATTTTCCGTCTAGTTTGACAAACCCAGACGGAACAGGAAACCTAGACGGAAATTCCGTCTAGGTTGCCTCAACCTAGACGGAAATTCCGTCTAGGTTGACTATACAACCTAGACGGCAGTCCGTCTAGGTTGTATAGTCAACCTAGACGGAAATTCCGTCTAGGTTGACTATACAACCTAGACGGCAGTCCGTCTAGGTTGTATAGTCAACCTAGACGGAAATTCCGTCTAGGTTGCCTCAATAAAAGAATCGTTTAGATTACGTGCTATTCTATTATGGACGATTAATGATTTTCCAGCCTATGCTAATCTGTCTGGGTATTCCACAAAGGGAAAGTGTGCTTGTCCTGTATGTGGTCCGGAATTTGAAGCTCTTCAATTACCACATAGCCGAAAGAGTTGTTATTGGTTTAATCGAAGGTGGTTGCCCTTGAGTCATAAGTACAGAAAATTATCAGCTAAGTTTGATGGCACAGTTGAGAAAAGAATGAAGCCGCGTCAACTCACAGGTACTGAGATCGTTCAATTACTTGAGGGGTTTCCAAAAGTTGTGTTTGGGAAAAAACGCTATTCTAAATTTAGCCCGCTCAGAGTAAGAGATTATTTAAAGTCAAAAAGGCCACTGAAGCGTAAGCGAAAGGTCCGGAAAATGCAAGTTGAGGAAGAAGACCAAAAATTACCTAGAGGATGGACTAAATTTAGTATCTTCTTTCAGCTACCTTATTGGCAAAATCTTAAAATCCGCCACAACTTAGATGTCATGCATATTGAGAAAAATATATGTGATAACATAGTATCAACTCTCCTACAAGATGCAAACAAGTCGAAGGATGATCTACGGGCGCGCCAAGATCTGACTGCTTTGAATATCCGAAATGATTTGCAAGCTCAAGATGTTGGACTTAAAAAATTAAAGTTGCCTCCGTCTCGTGTTACACTGACAAATGAGCAGATGCAACGATTTTGTGAAATTCTCAAATCAGTAAAGTCTCCGGATGGTTACTCTGCTAACATTTCAAATAATGTCCAAGTGCAAGAGCGAAAACTCTTAGGTCTGAAGACCCATGATTATCACGTTCTTCTCCATCAATTGCTTCCTGTTGCAATCCGTAACAATATGGATAAAGAAGCGTCGAAGATTATTATTGAGTATTGTGGGTTTTTCAGAAAATTATGCTCTAAAGTCATAGATGTAGATGAATTTAAAAAACTTGAAGCTGAGGTCCGAGTTACTCTATGCAATATGGAAGTAATATTCCCTCCTTCTTTTTTTACGGTTATGGTCCATCTTACCCAGCATCTTGCAAGAGAGGCTAGAATCGCCGGACCTGTTACTTATCGTTGGATGTATCCGATTGAGAGGTAAATTATATTTTTTTTTGCATTCATTACTTGTATATGCGTTTTTGAAATTACCGTGCTAATAATTAGTTATTTTGATTCTAAGATACTTGGGCTCCATGAAACATAATGTTCGCAATCGAGCTCGTCCAGAAGGCTCGATAGCTGAAGGATACGTGGCAAATGAATGCTTTATTTTTGCATCACGTTACATGCGCCAGAAGAAAACCACGGCTCAAGTACCAGATAAGGAGAGAAAGCGTGAAAAATATCCGAGATCTCTCTTAGAACAAATTCATGCATATGTGCTGGAAAACCTTGATATGTTCGCAGACTATCGAAGGTAACAAATAACACCCGAAATATAGATGAGACTATTCATTTTACATAATGTTCGCAATGCAAACTTATATATTGTTTATGTAGGCGACATTTGGAGAAGCTTAAGAATGAAACAACCGGTAGGAATGCAGCGCATAATATTCAGAAAAGACATAGGAAAGAATTTTCTGATTGGTTAAGATTTGATGTAAGTATTTAACAATTAATTTATGAACATTCATAATATAACATCCCCTAAATATTCTGAAATTTTTTGTCTTAGGTTGATAAATCACTTCTTGATGGTACTACGTTACCAGATGAAATTATTATACATGCACAACGCCCTTATTATGAAGTGAGACGTTATAATGAGCATTTGATCAATGGATATAAATTTCGAACGCTAGAGACTGATGATAGGAGGGTAACTCAGAACAGTGGGGTCATGGGCTTGTTTGCTCAAGAATGTTTTTCAAGTACAAGAGATCAGAACCCAATTCTAGCTGACATACTATATTATGGCCAATTAGAAGATATTGTTGAAGTAATTTACGGGTTTGGTAAACCAAAACAATGTACTTACACGATGTTCAAGGTTCGGTGGTGTCCTGCAAAAAAGCAAAAGGATCATTATGGATTTACACTTGTCAATCTCCATCGAGAAGTATATACGGATGAGAAATTCATTTTTGCAGAACAAGCTGATCAGTGCTTCTTCGTGAGAGATCCGAATGTCATATCTGATTGGGTGGTTTTGTACAAGGAGCCAAGATCTGTTGTTCTACCTAATAACAATGAAAAAAATATTGAAGAAAGTGAATATAATTATAGTGAACCAATTGGTTCATCTGATGATGTTTGGCAAGAATTCTCTTACGCACAGAATGTGGCGTTGGATGTAGGTATGTAATATATATGTTACACTGCATTAAAGTTTTTTAGCTAATCATAATAAGAACAATGCATTTCATAATAACTTATCTCATGAGCATGTATATTTTTTTTCTTAACTATGTTAATAATTGAAATTGCAGATGAGGAGGATGAGGAGACTCTTTGACCTCGAGGGTGATCGATCACGTAGTATCACCCCTGGTAGTGGTGCTGATGATACACTACCATCTCCGGATGCAGGTATAAAAATTAATTAATACTTTAATATATTTTATCAATTATTAATTATCTAGCTAATAGTGATTAATTTGTTGCAGATGCGGGTTATTCATCACCTGGCCCCTCTGATGCAGTACCAGAACCATCCCCTGATGCAGGTATTCAATATTATAATGCTCAATTATAATGGTTAATTAAAAACTATATTAATGATTCTCCTTTCTTATGTAGGGGATACTTGGACACCGACATATCCATCTTATACATTCCACACGGACTTGCGGCCAAAGACACAGGACTATCTTAGTTTACCTTTACCTCCAGCCTCTCATAAGTCTATGGCTGACGCAAGGAAGTACCATACACGTGCTGCGAGAAAATTAGAAGAAATGCGTGAAATGATTGAGACACGAAAGAAGGTTGCACTCGCAGCAAAGGAAAGAGAGATAGCGAATGGTAAATTGTATAAATACTTTTAATTTTCACATTTGTATATTATATGATATATTATCATGTTATTATTGTAGGTGCTAAGAAGGATCGTATCGAGAACAGACGTGGCGGAGGTAAGCCTGATTCCAAACAACCGCCAAGAGGAATGAGGGCAATAATTCGGTGGAATAGTTCTAATTTGCCCGTTGGTCCATGGTCGACCCGCTTGAATGCATATATTGGGGTTCTAGTGCGTAGAGCGACCATTATCAACCCTTATTTTCAATTTCGAGAACTACCATGGAGCGCATACGAGGCGATATGGACAGCGCTTATGGTAACTACATATTGCTATTACTTTTTATTTATTAATAATTAGTATTTGATATTAAATTATCTTTCCTAAATGTGTATGTAAATCTACAGGACTGCTTCTGCCTTGAGGACTTTGAGGGGGCTTGGAATTATGTGTTCAATGTTAAGGTTGAAGTAGTTCTCAAACAATGGAGGCATGAGATCAAACATGAAACCTATGACAGGTATGAGGAGGACTGGCAGAGGTTTTTAAACCTCGACGCCCGAGTTGACGAGGTTCATTTCACAGCTCTCCTCATGTATTGGGACAGCGATGCCTCCAAGGTTAGTTTCATGAAAATTACTTTATACTTTTAAGATATTAATTTATTGCATATTTGCTAATTTTTTTCTTTTAAAAAAGAATAAATCCACGAAGGGGTCAGAAAATAGAAGAAAGAAGCTGCATGACCACCACTTGGGCTCACACTCCTATGCCAATCTGGAGGATGTTTATTGTCAGGATACGGTAGATTTCCGTCTAAAGTTTTGATGAATTTAATGATTAGTATGATTATGAGTGTGATAATATATAATATGACAGGGAAAATCATTAATGCCAATACACTTGAGGGCGAAAGCGGCGTATGGCATTTTCCGTGATAGATATAGGGGTGATGAGAAGAATCGAGATAAGATCAAGGCAAATCTCGAGTTGGTGGTGAGAGTTATACATATCTTGTGTAGTATTATTAATTCTATTTTGTTGTTAATATTATGAGGAAATGAGAACACAAATAACATTGTCTTTACCATGAAATAATTATATATTTGTGCTTTAGGAGGGATTTGAGGCTGCATCAAAGGAGGCTGCAACTGTGTATATGTCGCAGCAGGAGGAACAATCTGAGCCGGACCCTCACATGCTTTCTGCAGAGGACAACATTACTCTCACACAGCATTTGATGGGTCATAATAGGTATGGATGTAGAAAATTTGAATCAATTTGAATACTACATTCCTATTTATATTTTTTTATCATTATTGAATTCGAGAGGTAAATTTAATATTTATTTCTCCCTAAATATAGGAGAGGGAGATATCCTCTGCATGGTGTTGGAGCTTCACCCGGCGTAAGCATGAGGTCATCCACAGCATCCTCCACACCATTTACATCCATGAGAGCAGCCCCGCCTCGGTTCCAGGCTATGCCATTTGTCGCACGTATCTCTGCATATTTGCTTGACAAGATTGACTCGGAGCTACATATCCAGGTGACTAATGAGATGACAAAAGTTGCGCTGACGGCGAACTCGATGGATGATCTCCTGGGGTATGTCATGCAATATTTAAGCGGTGCGATTCCTCATAGCGCGTATGGTGGTGTTATACGGATTATAAGCTCGCTTGGCGATAATTCCGGTGCTGGTCAGAGCAACACTCAGGTACCTTTTTTTTCCTTAAAATAATAAATTCATTTATATTTAATATGTATTAAACACTCCTTAATGATTATTCAATTGACCATTCAGAGTGGAGATATTGGAGGGAGCAGCACACGTTCTCGTAACCGGGATAGAGATACCGCCGCCGACGACGACTGATGAGGTTTATGAGGTTTTTTGTACATTTTTAATGCAATGAACAGCTTTATCTGTTATAACAATACTTATATGCTTGTTGGATGTATATATTAGACGGTCTTGGTTGATGCATATTTTGAAGTAGATAGTTGGATTTGTTTATTATGCTGGAATTGATTATATTATGGCTGGATCTGTGCATTATGTTGGATTTGAATATTTTTGGGTTTGAATGGAATTGTCTAAAATCTTGATTATATTTGGATGGTTGGATGTATTCATATATACAGTATTTATTGTATGTATTCATGTATTGGTGTAATTGTACAGGGAAATACAAATTGTAATATATTTTTTTTGCTGGAAAAATAGCAACCTAGACGGAATTCCGTCTAGACTGTACCAACCTAGACGGAAATTCCGTCCTGTACCAACCTAGACGGAAATTCCGTCTAGGTTGTAATAATCAACCTAGACGGACTTCCGTCTAGGTTGGTTCCGTCTAGGTTGTCAGCCTAGACGGTTTTCCGTCTAGGTTACCATCCTAGACGGATTTCCGTCTAGGATGATAACCTAGACGGAACTCCGTCTAGGTTGACAACCTAGACGGATTTCCGTCTAGGACACCAACCTAGACGGATTTCCGTCTAGGACACCAACCTAGACGGAAATGTCGATTCCGTCTAGGTTGGTTTCCGTCTAGATTGAGCAATTTAGACGGAAATCCGTCTAGTTTGATCCAAACTAGACGGTAACAGAATAAACCAATCTACCTAGACGGATTTCCGTCTAGATGAACCAACCTAGACGGATTGTAGACCAACCTAGACGGAAATTTCCGTCTAGGTTGGTCGTTTTTCTACCAGTGATATAATATTATTAAGAAACTACCATCATAATTATCATTCATACACTTCATTTTAATACATAGTTTCTATGAAGTTATAGGTTGCCTCTTTAAACTTGTGAAGTTACAAGTTACTGAAATGATGCTGACTCAACAACTTTAATTTTTGGAGTTACATCTTGCAACTTTAAAAAAATAGTTCGATTATAATATGTGCCTCGAAGTCATTATATTGTATCGGTTCATGCAAAAATATACAATGTTTACTTCATTTCTTATAGATGACAAACTTTAAAAAAACAAAATCATGGTAAAATATTCCAAGGTTTAATTGCTATAACCATGTAAAGTCATATACACATTAGAGGTTCCTCAGGTTTTAACGTTGCACCAAGGTTGACACTTCACCAGCTAACATATGGTTCTTTTTTCCTTTCTCTTGTTTTGGCTTTTACCTAGTTGTAAATGAACCTAGAACTACCCACAGCCCACTCTGTCACTTGTCCTTCACCAGTTAACAGTTGATTGAGGTCAAGGTCCGTAGAACCCACCTTCAGATCGAACATGGCTCACAAGTTCAGATAGCCAACTTGCAAATAATACAAGACTCTGAAGTCTATGATATTAACAAGAACTTTTGACAGCAACATACCTTGTTTATTCAGTAAACATTTTAGAACATTGGAACTTCGAATAAATTTCTTCAAACAAAACTTGTGACAATAAAATGTGCAAATTTAATATGATAAATTAAGGGGCCAATAGCCCATATCAGTCTGACAAATGGAATTGGAGAGTCTTCTAATAAGGTCTACGTTAATGTTCATATTCATATCGAATATAGCGTAAAGTGTATTTTTGTTATCAACCCTTGTACTGATAGGTTACATTTACTCCTATAGGATGCTCTTTACATATATTACTTTGATTTCAATTAGTGAGAAAAATTCACTAATGGGAACATGGTGAAGCCAGCATATATTGTAGTACTTCAAAAGTTTCTTTCTGCAATTTTTCTAAAACAATGTGCATAATAAACTGAGAGAAGAGTTGCTAATTTATGTGACCCATTCCAAAATCTAATCTGATAATTTGTATCCT